AGCGATCATTCGCTTCCTACGCATACGAGCATGATAGTGCTCTAAGAGCACATCGCGGTATACGTGCTGGTTTCTATAGCAAAACGCGGTGTGGTGCGTCTTCCCCCTACAGCATTGCAAGTAACGCGATTATACGAACAATTTTACTTACGAGGGAGGTCTTTCAGGTGTACCCGCGCTTTCTCAAAACGGTTTTTTGCATGATGTAGAGGGATGTGCATGGATACAGAACTGTGTCCATTTCCGCTAAATGGCCTCTGAATGCCAAAAAAGGAGTGAAAATAATTTCGTCGGATAACTGCAATTTTTACGCACTCACCGTGGTTTGTTTCATTCATGGCGTGGACTGCTTGCATAACGAAGGGTTCTCGCAAGCTCTGTATCGAAAACAACGCGAAGTTTGGCCAAAATTGGAAAGTTGTCGTAGTGATGACATGCTATGTAGTGAAGAGCGTGTGGAAGTTTCATGGGTGCATTTGGCTAACATTCGGCAGCGTCGGTGGTGTAGTGGTAGCGATATGGACTTCAATTGGCACGGTTGGACGGGGTTGCTGGTTCGGATCCTCGAGATGCGCAAATTTTTGCGTTTCTTGTTGGCACTTCCAGATCTCGATCTCGTGGCTCCAAGTTGCATAAACGCCATAATAGATGTATTATTCATGATCAGAACCGTTAATAACCCCGATGAGGTAAGTTTTCACCGAAAGCAGGCAAACAAAGTTGTAACGTCGAAATGGCGCCAGATAGCGGCGGCTCCAAAAAACAATGCCATATTCTTAACCAGCGCACTGATTTACCTCTATAGCCGAAGTTTCGAGGAAAATCGCATCTTTGACCTAACTTCGAAAATTTCACCAGACATAAGTAACTCTTCAAGTATTTCCAGTCGCTTGGGGGCGAGCTCCGTGTGGAGAACTAGCAGAAAACTACTGCACTGTGGGTGACCCCTCTCCCCGACCGTCATCAGCTTGGGTGTCTGCTATTCTGTTCGGTAGGAACATTTCTCATTTCTTGATGAGGATCTAGAGGAGGTCATTTCCAAGAAGTTCGCCGTCGAGCCTGACGTGCTACAGAGTTTACTTATTACTCATGGAGCAATTTTTCGAAGTTGGGTCAAAGTCTTGATTTTCTTGGAAACTTCGAATACAAGGGTAATCAGGTGTCCCTGATTACGAATATGACATTCATTTTCAGCTCCGACATCATTTTGGGCCCCTATGACGCTGTTCGACGGCACGTTGGTGCCGTTTTGCGTCACAACTTTCTCCACCAGTTTTCGGTATACGCTTACTTTTAAGGGTTTTTTGCAAGCCTAATTATAAACATGACATCAATTCCTGGTGTTGACGTATTTGGTGCCAATTTTTGCGTCCAAATCACAATGCAAAAAATTTGTCGCCGCGGAGAATCGAACCAAGGACCATTTGCTCACTCCTTTTTTGGCAGGCACTCAGAGCGCATCAGGGTGAAGCAGAGAGTAGTGAGACAGTGGGTAATCGGCTCAGTACGAGATATGCAGGCCTCTTTTTGGTCATTCAGGAGAACCATTTTGCTGCAATGGACTACAGTTTCTATAATCTCATCGCACATTGTGGCTCCGACTAACATCTATTAGCAAACCAGCCGTTTTAATGATGAGGCGGGTTACTATCCTGATAAAGACCTCCCCTTGTACAGAAGGAAGATTTTGCTAGAGTTTAGCTCGGTTATCATATGTCGAGATCCAGTACACGAGTCCGAGAAGACCTAAATAGGCCTGTAGAGAAGAAAACATGCCGTCCCTTGCAACAAAATGCACTTTAAGTTTCTTTTATGGTGCTGTCAATTTCTTCTCGGGCCCTTAGCCCAATCCAGCATCGAACGAGTATCAGCGAGGAGACCAGCCGTGGAGGGCAGAGGAGGCGACAGAAGACCATAGAAGGCTATCAGCAGCGCCAGCAGGAGGGTCCGTACAATTTGCCCCGTCGCTCAGTGCGGATCCCGATCTACCTTCGTCGATAGTGATCGCTGGAATGATGGAGAATCGCTCGCCCAACTCGGTCGATCGGGCGAATTATGATTACCATTGCACGTGTTCTATTCTCAATCACTTAGGTATCGAATGTCTTCCATCCTTGTAATATCGTATTGGGAGCCCCCCACCCCAACAGACCTCGACTGCTCAAGGTTGTGCTACCCACTTCTAGGTTCCAGAGACTGGCTGTACAGCGCGCCCCGCACCTGCGGTCCTTTTCTCAGAGGAGTATTTTCCTTCGCCCCTCCTTAACTAAAGAAGAAAGGGAAAGCAGGCGTAAGGAGCATATGGCCGGCCACTCTCCACGCAGGTTCTGATCCTATAAGTTCCTTGGTTCCTCCGAGTGTTGTAGTTTCAAATGTTCGTTATACAGTGCCTCAATCATCGCAAGCGCGTCGAACCTCTGACTTTTTCTTTCGGCCTAAACAATAATTCGGAGTTCCTGTAAGGTCTTCTCCTAAAAACTCTAAATTTGTTGTTGCCATGTTACTTCAAAATAATTACGACCTAGTTTTCCTCTCGGAATCTTGGTTATGCTCCGGTACCGAAATGTCCTCCCTGTTAGGTGTTGCTAGTTCCCAATTTGATCACGTTAGGTGTGATCGTACACGTAAAAAAGGCGGTGGGGTTCTTCTTCTTATAAGACACTCTATTCCGTACAATCTTGTGTTCAAGGAATCAGTTGCAGGCGCATATGAAATCGTGGTTGTAGATACCTATTTTGGGTCCCATGCAATCCGGTTTATAGTGATTTATAGGACTCCTTCCTGTAGTGTCCAGGGTTCCTCTTTGCTCCTCAAAGCCGTAAGTGACTTTTGCTCCTATAATGGTCCTACCCTCGTTCTCGGTGATTTCAACCTTCCAGGTGTTTCTTGGGATGAAGACTGGTCGGACAAGTCTTCATCCAAGGATTTCGTCGAGACCTTTCGATCTCACAAGTTCACACAGTTAGTCCGCGGCCCTACCAGAGGCAAATCTTGTCTTGACCTTGTCTTCTGCAATTCTCCCCAATTAGTCAACCAAACTAAAATCTTGCCACCCATAGGAACTAGTGATCATGCTACCGTTGCGTTTCAACTTAACGTCTCAGTTCTAGGCCTGCAGTTTCCGAATTCAGAGACTTCAAAAACGCTGACATGAAAATCATCGATGACTACCTCTCTAAAATCGATTGGATTGGCTCCCTTGGTTCAGTTTACTCCGTTAATGACAAATATGAAACACTTCTAGCTATACTGAATGACGTCATCGACCGATTCGTCCCCATCCGTAAAACCACAAGCGGGTTACCTCGTTTACCATCATCTACCTATCTAGTTCGTATGGTTGCGCGTTGCATTCCTAAACTATAGTGTAGGCGGAAGCAATAAAAGTTCCAAGCTCTCTCGAAAGTTAAGTTTTGTATGGGGTGCAATCTATTGTGCACCGCGGTGTAGCAAGAAACGTAAAAGTTATAGGACTTGTTGTTTTTTAGAAGATGTAACAGAAAATAATAAGTTCTAATCTTCTGAATGTAAAGTTCTAGTAAAAGCAAAAGGGTCTCCAGTCGTACAGAAAGGAGCCAGAGAGCTTTTGCTGCTCATCGTAGGTAATTCGTAACCTACGTTTGCATATTCACTGGATTGCCTTAAATGTTGTTCCTTTCGTAGATATTTCGAGTACAAATCAGCCTGCTGATATCGGAAAAAGGAGCTGTCCCTGTGCAACACTGGAACGCCAACTTTCGGGCAGCACTCACACTCACAAGTGCGGAACCTGAAGAAGTCATCGGGTACCTGCTTCACCTCATCCTCGTCTCAAAATTTTCATTGCAAGAACCGCTGGGAGCGGATGAAGAGGCAATGAAAAG